GCGTATAAAAGTTGAGATGGGAACGGGGAGAAGCGTGCTACTACCGCTACGCTATTCACTACCACAATCGCAAGCGCTGCACCCCACGGTGCATGCTTTTTATGCTTTTTTGCATGCTTATATTTCAAGCCTCTCAAAGCCGCCCGTGGCATCTGATGGCATCTTAGTGCAGTTACACAGGATACCCACACTGACTGTCCGCGCGGTCGCAGTATTCGTGATATATTTCAAATAGAATAGTGCCATGGAACTAATTTCAGGCACTAAATCAAAAATAAAAAAGCATTTTGTAACATGATAAAATTCAAGTGTCTGCATAAAAATGATTTTTTGTATAAAAAATTTAGAGAAAATCTGAGATGAAGAAGAACGTTTCGGTCCAATAAGTCGTATAGATTTCTCTAACTGGCACTACAGCTGGACCTCGTCAGTATGGTGTTAATATGTGTGCAAGGGGTAATGTTAATATAAATGAGCAGTGGGTAAATGCGTAACTATGGGGGTCATTTAAGCATCCTCTTTTGCAAGGTAATTCAGACGCTACAGGAGTTCAACGCACGAAGTTAGGAAATGGGCCTGAAGATTAATGCATCAAAGGCAAGGATGGTGTGATGTGGCTGCATACCTTCGGCGAGACTTTTGATAACGGTCTTGACTTTGAAAATTTTTGTTATAGGTAATACCTATCGATGACGTATATTATGTGTGAAGCATAAACACTTTCTCCGTTAAATTTTTAAAAGAAATGACAAATCGATGGTCGAATCGTTCGCAGTATGCTTTCTTAAGTAATGTCGAAACTGATTTTAACCTTTGCTGAATGCCGTCTTTGTTTTCTGTTTTCTGCAACAGCTACTACGTTTTCACTGCCCGGAACACCTCTCTGAAGAAGTGAATACTTTAACATGTGCTTTGATAACAGTTGCTGACTTTACTGTAGGAAATTACTGCACTTGGTACTGTGTTAATTCAATGAAGTGATTTAAATTTTGTGATGAATCACAAAGTTGTGCAACTGTGACCGGAATTCAGTGTTTCATCGCGGTACTTTCTTAATAACTCGAAACGGCTACTGGTTCACCAGTGGCATAATCGACAGCTATGCCATTTTTTCTTCTTTTAACAGTTTGTTTGATTAATTCTCGTTTGCTTGCGCCTTCTTGCGATTATAGAAACCCAGATAATAAAGCATCAGGCTTACCGGTGCGATCGTTAGTTTTTGCACCAGACTTGAAGTACTGAGGTCATTAACTGCATGAACGGTTTTTGCTTTATACTTACCTTTTGCGCTCACTAGAGTAAATCACCAATTTTGCACAAAGTAAATAATTTTCACTTAACGGTCGTTCCTTAAAAGTAACCTATCTGTTCAGTGAGCAATTTTCTCACCAAACCTTTCGTACGCCCTCACTTGATTACCACGCATATCGGGAGACTGAATTTGAAATCTTAAGCTTAACATGCACAGTGAATATCTTTGCAAAGTTTCAGCCTCTTATCTTGTCTGGTTCTCGACTTGAAAGTGGGTAACCAAAAGTGACACTCACACAGCCTTTTGCCAATATGTGTTTTTGCAATCTGCATACATAAAAAAACACATAAAAACTGGTAAATATATCGAATTTCATCTTTCTTCTACAAAATATATGTATAAATAAATATAATAAGAACAGCGAAGTGATGGAATAAGGATAAAAAATAAATATGTATTACTGGATAGTAGTAAATGGAGCAATAGTGAAGTGAGTGCATTTGTAAGATATGCTTACATGGATTTTATCTATGCGTGTACGTGTGATGAAATATTCCGTGCTAATCGCATCTTATAGAAATGTATTAAATATTTTAAGCAGCAATATTTCTGAACTTTATTGACTTCTGCACAAAATAATTTTTAACAAACGTGTTGTAGTACTTCGATCAGCTCCGGTTCGTAGTATGTTTTAGTACATTTCTGAAAATACATTTTTTTTTTTATCGAAGAAAATCCGCTGAAAATATCTCTACGCGAAAAAAATCTAAAATAATCCTAACATTTGGAAGATTTCACGCGAAATTACATAATCGCGCAATTTGCAAAAGTATGTGATTGATTTTCGCAGTCATTTCCTCTATGCATCGTGTTTTACGCTGAATGGAAACAATATATTCTACAATTTGATGTGTATATTAACGAATATATATTCATTAATGTACGATTCTTGTAACGATTCTTACGATTGTTAAACAATTCTTATAATCACGATAGCGAGAGCTGTTTTTGTGTTTACATTTGTCGTAGTCTTAACTATAAACGCGCCAGCGGCAGGCATCAAGCTTGCTGGTGCGACTACGCTTTTTCCCATGATTTCGTGCAAAAATAAGTTCATAAAACCTGTCATGCGTTTTTCACGTAAATTTTCCGCGAAAAAAATATTACAAATATTTTTTTTTCTATTACAGTGATGAGGGCTAACTTGGATGAAACGGCGCACTATAAGCAGAGGCAGCAGGAGGCGGAAAGTCTACGACGAGTAGCATTCTGTGGTGTAGCTCTGTCAACAATAGCCTCATTACTTTGTGCGCTTTCGGTACCAATGTTCTACAATTACTTGCAACATGTACAGTCGGTGATGCAAAATGAAGTTGATTTTTGCAAATCGCGCTCCAGCAATATATGGCGAGAAGTGACCCGGACACAGGTCAGTTGCATTATCATTTACTGGAGCGAAAATTCTTTTGGTCAAGGTCAAAAAGTTTCAAGTGGAGTATCCTAGTAATAGGTCACCATGAATTTTTTTCAAAAAGTACCACATTTCTAAATATTTAGCATGGAGGAAGAGTTTTAGCAAATTTTGAAGAATACGTTGGGAAAATTTTTGTTTGTTAGAGAATATCTCAGTACAAAAAGATTTTTTGTGGTAGTATGCTGGCGTAAAAAATGAGTATGAAAGAGACAAATAATCAAGTTTTTACGACGCGCATCATGAACACCAAGAATACTAAGATAACCAGGGCTAACAGTGTGGCTATCTCATGTTACTATTGCTGCTAAGTGTTCCCCGACATCAGTCATAGTGCACTTGGCCTTTCAGTTCTAGACTGCATACCGTCAGCTAGTACCGCATACCTTCAGTTAGTAAGCATCCCACTTCGCCCGAGACTGCTCGAGCAGTTATTTTTTTTTCTTATGGGTAAACTCCCTAGTGTGCGACGTCCGCCAGTTGTGGAGCACCTTGTCCGATCCAACGAATTTAAAGAAAATATACTGTTGATTTTTTTTTTCATTGAACAAACTTCCGTGACAAGTTTCGTTAAAAAAAATGTCTAACTGTTTTCTTCATCTCTTCAATGGCCATCATTCCTTTTTCTGCAGTTTTCTTTTTTATGCGTTTATTCCTCATAAAAATTTGCAAGACAAATAAAGAAGTGAGTGGCCTTCAACAAACGAAATCTCGGCTCCAGGTCCCTTTAGTTCCCAAATTTCATGTTCCAGGAAATTTGCATAAATGGTTTGTTAAAAGAAAATTGAATGTTAGTGCGCCTGAGTAAAGAACGCGCTGCACAGAGTATTAAGAGAACATATAATTTTGTCAGCTTCACCTGTCGGGCGAACTGTTGAGCTGGAGAGGAAACGAATACTGGCCGGCTGACGATCAGCTAATGCAGGGCTGGTCAAGGCACAAGTAATTTTCTAGCTGTGCAGCCGGGGAGCTAGCTATGAATTACAGCTGACTAAAATATTGTAAAAAGTATTTATACCAGCGCAAAATTATAGATTTGAACTAAAGTTAAACCCAAAAATCCAAAACCCTTTTTTTCTAGCTAGCTGTTTTTGAGCGCCGCAGACCGTCAAAAGTGCTTCAGCTGAGAGCTGGAATTATATACACTAGGCGAGTTGTCAATAACTTCTTTTTTTCTTCGACTGCTTGGAAACAAGTTGAAAACTACCATGGCGCCCTGGCATGCGTAGGCACCAATAATCAACGAAGTATCAAAGAAAAATTGGAATTCTATGAATCGAACTTCCGATTTATTTTCTTAAATAGTGCCGCTTCCCAGTGTAATAAGCTCTCCAGTGTGACAATATGATAACCCGGCAAAAGACTGCACATTAATTAGGTAGATAGGAATTATGCATCGTTCGCACTATATTTTGTATTAATATCTAACTCATACAAACATCATGCGGGAGGCGCATAATTGCTGAAAGCAGTAGCGTACGAATACGAAACTTGGTCACTGACGAAAGTTGAAGAGCGAGCGCTGGTTGTAATAGCGAAAGTGATGGGGTGAAAGGATGCTTGATGTATTTTCTCGGTATTACATAAACAATCAGACTCTCTGCTAGACGGGAGACGTGCAGGATATCACTGCGAGCACGAGACAAAGTAAAATGCGATGGGCAGGACATGTCTAGTCTCACCGCTGATGCCTTCACACTGATAGCCCGGGTGGTCTCGGTATTCTTGGCATCCGATTGTTTTGCGATTAAACTGAGTGCAGAAGTATATTGGTTTGTAAAATAAGGCATGGAGCAGTGAACTTGGTGCTTATTAAATAATAAAAAGATCTAAAGTAAAATGAACGCTCCCCCATAGTTCTAATGGTTGGTATTTAATAAAGAAAAGGCATAAGAAAAAAGATTGGAAAAATGCTTATGAATAAATTAAAAACGCTGGCGTCAGAGGTCGTATTTAAAATGAAATTTTTTACTTTATCACAATTTGTCTCGTAAATTACCCGCTTGCGGTAATTTAGCTTTGGCAGTAGTTTCGGATCCACAGAATCCTAGAATCTGAAGAGTTGCCAGTATGAAATCCATCCAACCTCCCTTATTCCTCTACATTGATTAATTCTGACCTCTTAAAGGAAAAAAATGCGAACATATAGAAAAAACTGCTTTTTACTCTTGTCGAAAAAACAATTTTCGTAGTTGAGATTACTGAAAGCAAAAAAAAGGAGCTTTAAGAAAATTTTAACGGCTGTTTTTGGATGATCACATTAGAAATTTATTTCATAATAGACACTAGAATCGCACGGACATCAGTACGAGGATCCTACGTTGGTGACATTGTTGGGACGCATCTCTCAAACTCTGAGCGTCATTATATCAGAATTTTTGATCCTGAGCTAATTGTTCAGATATGATAATAAATTTAATGGCAGGTCTGTTGCTACGTGTGTGGCATTCGCCTTCAGGCTTGAATCGTATTCGCCAGAGAAAAACCAGTCCCTGTACAATTTGCTGATTTTTTTCTTTTTTTAACCGTAAATTAGCATTGGCATCCCCAATACGAGTAAAACTCTTACAAATTGCCATCGAGAAATTCCATAAGAAGTACGAATCAACACCTTTAGCGCAACAATCATCGAATAGGAAATAACTAGTAAAGAAATCATTCATGTGTTGACAAACATGTCAATGAGTAATTGCAAAATTCCATTAAATTCTTTAAAAGTATATGATTATTCCTCCGTAAAAAGCATGCAACACTTTCACTTCCTTTCGGAGACATTTTTTTTATCTTTTGC